GCATAAATAAATAAATCTTTAAAAATAAATAAATAAAAGGGGGACAAAGCACTTGGCTCAAGGTCTAGCTGGGGCTTCCAGAGAGAGAGAGGTGCTACCGTGCTCCCACCCCTTAGAAGCACCTCTATCGAATATGCATTGGAGCACCCTCATTGGCACCCTCTCTGTCCTGCTGGGTGACACAGGGAGGGACGGAGGGACGCAGAGCATGAGGCACATGTGTCCAAGGCGAGTCCTGCTGCGCATACTGCTGACCCAGGCGGTGACCGCTGGCCTTGGGCTCAGACGGACAAGCGGGAGGGGGGACATGCCGGGGAGGGGCCCTGCCCGGGAACCTGGAAGCGCCAAGATGGGGGAGTAGACGTTCTGACTGGGTATGGGGGCGTGGAAGGAGCCCCCAGGGTGCGGAGCTTGGGGACAGTAACTAAGGCGAGGTTCGGTGGGGAGAAGACGAGGGATTGGGGAGTCCCCCGGGGGCAGGCTGAGGGCGGGGGAGGCGAGGCCGAGAGGCGCGGTATGAAGAAACCCCAGATGGGAACCGGGCGCAGGGAGTGCAGCCTTGGCGCAGCGCGGGGCTGAGAGAGGCGCAGCGGAGGCGCGTTGGGGTGGCGCACCCCAGCTCGGTTTCCCGCTCGGCATCTGTCCCCCGGGCTAGGCGAAGGGTCCTTGGCTCGACCCCCCACGCCGCCGCGTCATCCTTTGTCTCACTACCTTGGCCCGGCTGACTGCGGCTCTGGTCTCGCGCAGGTCTCGGGCGCGGTTCTGGTCTGCACTGCCTCCGGACGTCTCGGCCTCAGTCTGTGGCTCTCTAGACTGTCTGTCTAGGGCGCTTCCTCCTATCTCTGCCCTATCTTTTTCTGGCCTTAGGTCCCCACCCCCACTCGGGCCCCATCTTTCTCCAAGATGACAGAACATTCCTCCGCTCCGCCCGTTCGGTAGTAAGACCAGATCTCCAAAAGCCACTAGCAGGCGCTGCTGTAACCCGCCCAGCTCCAGGCCGAGGTCGGGGAAATTCCCCAGCGCTCCCAGGGATTTGGGATTGGGCTCCCAGATTTGGCCCCGGGCCTGACTGTGGCTATTCTGGCCCTGGAAGAAAGGGGCGGCACATCTGGGTCTGGCTCAGAAGAGCCCTCTGGGATTCAGGGGTCTCTGGGGTTGTGTGGGAAGAAAGCTCACTTTCCATGAGAGCCTGAATTCTCCCACGCCAGCAGAACTGTGGGTTCCTTTTCCCCTAGGAGGCACCCTTGGTCTCCTTAGCCTAGAAGGGTCCTGCCTCTGAGGGCGGGCCCACCTCTGCTGGAATTGTTTTCTTTCCCACTATGTGCATTTTCAGTTCTCGCCTCTGTCTAGTATTCCAGGAACCCTGTCCATCCTCCTAAACCAGCTTTTTTTCTGTTTAGGAGGGCGCAAAACTATTCAGGGAGATGAGTCACTAAACAGGACTCTAGACCAAATTTGGAGTAGGAGGCTCTCCCTGGTGGTGCAAGAGGTTATCTCAGCACTATGAATCTATCCACAGCCACTACAGCATGAATTCAATCCCTGGCCAGGGAGGTGACACACCTGGTGCAGCAGACCTCTCTTGTCTCCCCGCTGCTCCCCTCCAGCAGTGTATTTCAGTCAACTTGCCTGTTCTGCTCCCCACTCTGTTTCTGCTGAGTCCTCTCACTCTCTCCCCCACCCCCACCTCTGGCCTGTTCCCCAGTTCTTGTATGCATAAATAAATACATCTTTTTTTTAAAAAAAAAATTCTTTTTTTTTTTTTTTAAATTTGTGGATACAGTAACTGGGGTACAGTCCAGAGGTGGAGGGGGGGTTTAGAGGATTCACCAGAGACAGGGCAGGGAGCAGAACAGGCAGACAGACTGAAGTACCCTGCTGAGGGGAGCAGCCAGCGAGACAGGCGAGGTCTTCTGCGACATGTGGATCACTTCCAGGGCTAGGCATGGAACTTTACTGAAGCAGCTGTGGCTGGCCAGCTTGCAGTGCTGTTTCCCAACCCACTGCACCACCAGAGAGAGCTGAAAACATCTTTTAAAAACATCTTCAAAAACAAAACAAATTTGGGGTTGGTATGGAAAGCAAAAGCTCTAGCTCACTGCTTGCCCATCTCACTCCCCCAAGCCCAAACTTGCTTCCTTTTAAAGCTAGAGTAAGTTCTCTCCTTCTGGACTCTGAATCTTCCTCTCCCACTTCTCTTTAAAATTTATATTAATTTATGTTCAGGGATTATCTGTTGCACATTTGAGTTGGATTTTTAAAAAAATTGACAAAAGATGCCACATTGCTTTTTTAAAGCCAGTGGTTAAAAAAAAAAAGTTCAAGTGGTACAAAGAATACACATTCAAAAGGAAATTGCCTTCTCAACCATTTAGTTCCCCTCTGCTACATGTTTTTGTACCTCCCTGATTTATTAAAATCAAAATTCTGAAAATAAGTTCAGAGAAAAGGTTAAAAAAAATTAGTAAGTGTGCAGTGAAACAAATAAGTAGGAAAGATACAAACATAGGATAAAGACTGCCCAGGGGAGATTGTCCTGGTGAAGATCTGGCAAGAATAAGCCAATGGCACTGGGATGGAGGAAACCTTGCTTCTCTGCTTGATATATCTTCCCCTGGCAAAACAGAAAACTCCACAGGCATTCTACTCTCTACATAGGACATTTTTTAAAAAGCTATACCACAAATTGCCTATTCAAAGTGTACAATACAATGGTCTTTAGTATATTTATAGACTTGTGCACAAATTAAGAACATTTTCATCATCCCAAAAGAAGCCCTCTTCTCTTTAGTTCCTCATTTCCCCACAAACCCCCTGCCCTAGGCAAACACTAATCTACTTTCTGTTCTCCATGGACTTCCCTGTTTGGACATTTCATTTAATGGAACCATGCAATAAGAGCTCTTTCATGACCATCTTCTTTCACTTAGCCTATTTTTTCCCCCATTTTATTTATGTTGTAGTATGCACAAGTACTTCATGCCTTTTTTATGACTGAGTAATAAGTGTTTGGCCGGATAATATCTATTGTATTCATGTCTGAGGAAGAGGTAACCCTGTTTTTTTGTTTGTTTTTTTTTTTAACTTGTTTTTGCAAAGAAGAACTGGGGTATAGGCCAGAAGTGTAGGGGTGAGAGAATTCACTAGCGACAAAGTAGGGAGCAGAATAGGCAGACTGACTGAAATAGACTGCTGAGGGGAGCAGCAGGCAAGACAGGAAGGGTCTGTTGGGCTGTGTGGGTCAGTGCCTTGGCTGGGGATCAAATTCAAGTTCAGTGGCTGGAGACAGCTTGATAGTGCTGAGACAGCATATGTGGGTTAGCTCCCTGGTGGGGCACACCTTAAAACTGGGGCAACTGGGCCACCTTGGTGGCCTGGTATTGTCTCAACATCATCACCTTGATGGCCCTAGTTTGATCCCCGGCCAGGGAGCTGACCCACATACAGCACTACAGACAGGGACACCGGTTTGGAGGTAGTCGCAGGTCTTATAGGGGAGACATGAAGGTGGTTTGGGCTAGGCAGAGGTAGAGACGAATGTGAGGTATTGCCAATGGATTGGATTTGGGGAAGTGAGGGAGTGGAAGAAATTGTGTGTCCTCAAGCCCCAAAGTCAGGTGCAGACCAGAACAAGGGGTAAGGAGGTCTGATTTGCTCTGGACCTAACACACTCTCTACTGCTCCCCACCTTGCAGGCTGGTGCTGGATACCCTTTAGGGGAAGTCTGGAGGCTTCCGGGCTCCTCTAGTGAGGGAACTGGGAGACCACTAGAGGTGGGACAGTCCCCCAAAACTTACCAGTAGGTTGGTGGTGGGATTCATTCCAGGGGATCTGTGGTGGGCTGATCCTCCCCTCTCCTCTCCCTGGGGGTGTCCTCCAAAGCACTCTTTACCCCACTGTGAGCCAACCTGTTTCCTCCCAATCTGAGCACAGGGAAGCTGGGACTCAAGTGGCCAAGAAAGAGACTTCAGAGTGGTGGGGCAAGGACCCCCACACCCAAGGGTTGCCTTTGATTGCCCTCTCCCTCCTCTGGGGCCTGAGCGGATAGACAGTGGGGGTGGGGAGGCGGGGCGTGTCTCTGGAGAGCAGGGTGTGGCCTGTGGTCCAGATGGTCACTGTGATGGACAGACTGTCCCGACAGAGGGAGGCTTAACCCCTACTCCCCTCCGAGCCAGCTGGCCTGGTGGATTGAGGGTGCAGAGCACAGAGAGTCCTCAACCTGCTAGCGAGCTCAGAGCAGGCAGGGAAGATTCTGCAGCTTCTGCGCGGTGAAGCGCCTTGCCCCTCCCGGCTTCACTTCCTCCTCCGCCGTCCCGGCCTGTTGCCCCCGGCAGGTTCAGGATCCTAGCGGCCTGCAGCGGGCGGCTGCCACGCCCTTGCTTCAGCTTTGCTGGGGGTAAGTCGGGGCTGTTTAATTTTGGGGGCGTCTGGGACGTCTGTGGGGGTCGGGCCCCCAAGCACTACAGTGAATGATGAGGATGAACAAACTGGGCTTCTCCCGCCCCAGGGTGTGCGCGGGGCTGCGTGAGTTTGGGGGGGGGTGTTAGGGATTGGGCTGACAGCTGTTGCTGAGGAGGTACGGGAGTGGTGGGCTGAGGGGGGCGGGGCAGCTCCCGAGACAAGATGGAGGGGGTGGGGGGTGTTGAGGACACTGCCGGGCTAAATCGTGGTTGGTTCACAAAGGCCACCCTTGGGTGGGTTGAGGCAGAAAGATGGTCGGTCAAAACTGTTGAGTTGAGACAGCCAGGTGCCACCTCCCCAGCTTCTATGGGGAAATGCCCCGGGAGCCTGAAGCTGGGAGTGGCCCCAAGCCCTGCCCCCATCTCACCCGGCTGTCTACCCCTGTCTGCTCCTTTCCCTTCTTTCTAGCTGGGATGGGGGGGGGGGAGGATCGGGGAGCAGAGGGGTTTCCCTTTATCCCCTGGGGCACGCCCCATGTCATGTGTCGGAGTCTGGTTTTCCTTCTCCTGTGGTGAGATGGTGGTGTCAGCTGAGCTGCCAGGACCCCAACCTAGGGCCTATGGCAGGGGGCTGCTGGTCAGAGGGAGGCAGGCAGTCATTACCCGGCACCATTCTGAAGCCCCTAGAGACCATAAGGCACAGAGAGGTGGCATTCAAAGCCTTCAGAGATGACTCAGACTGATAATATAGACGGGCCCTGAAAGATTCCAAGAACTGAAAGGAACATGGTAGGTGAGCTGGTTTCTAGAGCAGTCTCTGCCAACAGCTGGCGACCTCGGGAAAGTCATTTCCCTTTCTGAATCTTAGTTTTCTGGCAGCAAAATGAGGGGTTTGATAGGTGTTTTTCTACAGTTTCCCTCAGAGCATTCCCCTTCTGTGGTGAGAGGTTGAGTGACACACCCCCACCCCATAACTGCACTTTTATCTGTTGTGAATATTGGCCGCTGAGCAAGATGTAGAGAAAAGGTTTGCACCGTTAACTGTTTGTTACGCCCAGACCAGGGTCTGTGGCATCTCAGATATCGAGAGGTTTGGGAGGGAAAGTGGGGGACAGTCATGGCCTTTCTAGTGGGAACAATGTCAAAAAGGCTGCTTCACTGGGTCCCTGTTCTCCCCATTTCAGGATGTGGGGCCATGGGACATCTTCCCTCTCCTCTCCTTCTGTCTACCTCCCTCCTGGTTCCACTCCTGTTCCTCTTGGTGTGAGGTCCCTCATTGTAGGGAGCACTCCGTGCACTCAGCTTCTAAACATTTCCTTTTGCAGGCCCTAGCCAGATCCCCAAACTTATCTGGTCTCTGAACTGGAGGGAAGGAGGGGCTTTGACACCTCAGTCTCCACAGGGATTCCAGCTGCATCCTCCTCTCAGGATGACCTCGCCATCCAGCCCGCCTGCTTTCAGGCTGGAGACATCAGATGGAGGCCAAGAAGGTGGTGCTGATGTAGACAAAGAAAAGCATGGCCGTGGGGATGGGCTGCCCCCCATGGAGTCACCATTCCAGGGTGAGGACCGGAACTTCTCCCCTCAGATCAAAGTAAACCTCAACTACCGAAAGGGGACAGGTGCCAGGTAAGGCAGCAAGTGGGAGTGGGACTTTGGGCCACTCACCTCCAGTAGAGGACTCCTCATGAGACACAGTGGCCCGGCCCAGCCCCAGTGCCCCTTCCTCCCAGCCTGCTGAGTCCTCAGTCTGGCTCTGATGGCTCCTGGACCCAATATGTTCTTGACTCCTCGGACTAGAGTGTGGATCCTGCTACCACAGAGAGGGGAGCTAAGCCACAGGGTCACTTCACTACTTGGAGCTGGAACAGTGTTTTCCTGCACAGTACACAATCTTAGAAGGTAGGACAAGAGTGGGGAAGGTTCTGGAAAGAACAACCTTGTCCTGGTGGACCAAGGTCAGATTCTGACCTGGATAGGAAGGAATGCCAGAGCCTTCTGGGATTTGAGTTGCCTGCCTGATAGGGAGAACGGGCCCTTCAGTGCTTCAGTCTGTGCCCTATTTGTACTTCCTACCCCAGGCCCGTGATGCCACCCTGTGACAGGAAGTGCTTTGTCAAAATGATCACTTCCCTCTGCTGGACTCCGCAGTCAGTCACATTGTGGCCACATGGTCTGCTGGGCAGAGGGTGAGGCAGATAAGCACTTCCTGGCATTGGGGAAGCAGGCCGTGCTCTATCAGTCATGAAGAATGACTTAAAACATGACTGAATCCCCCCTTCATTGGAGACTCAGTAACTCTTACTTGATTGGCCCATTCCACAGTAGACAAGAAATCCCCAAGCACCAAATAGCCTCCCACTTTTGTTTGCCTGGTCATATTGGTGGTCACGGTACAAGGAGGCTCGGGATGAGGTATAATAATACAGTCCTCTTTCCCCACCACCAGACACTGACACTGCTACATTCTGAAGCACCACAGCCCCACCTGGCCTTCTCCGGAAATATAGTTACTTAGCAAAACTGAAAGAAATAGGCTTCAATGCTGGGTCCCTGTGTCTCTGAGAAGCCTCTTGCTGCTGCCAAGTCTAGAATCTCTGGGGGAATGGAGGTGGGAGGTAGGGATGGAATTAGTGTTAAGAGTTTGACATCCTCTTGAGAGCCCCAGTTGGGCATCATGTGAACTTGGCCAAGTGTCTTTATCTCCTTGTTTATATAAAGAGGGAAAAAGTGATTTATCACTGCTAGGATTGCAAATGGGGTGTCAAGGTACAGATACTCCATTGTTAGTCCAAGGTACAGATACTCCATTGTTAGTCCATAGATGGTTTTTGAAAAGGTTGAGGGGCTTTTCCTGATTCCTTCACCTAACAGTCTGTGGGCCCTTCCTGTAGCCCCATCCCAACCCTGACTCCCTGTGTTGGGCCATAACAAAGTCAACTTTAAATCAAAGTAGCCAAATATTTTACCAGTACAAATGAGTTCATTTGGGAATTGCAGTTTGTGAAATGCAAGTTATGGCAGGCCATTGGCCAATTCAGAAAACAAGAGATGAAAGCTTGCTTTTCTAAGGGAAGCAGGGGACACGCGCTTGGCGGGGGACACACTCCTCCCTACTGCAGCCGGCAGGGAGGCTAGTGCTCATGCATGAGAGTGCCCTCTGCAGGCCTCCCCAGCTGTGATTTTAGTTGAGGTTTCCTTTATTAAATTTTCAAAAGTTTCTGTGCTGAAATCAACCCTGCAGGATAAGCCTGTTGCAGGACCATCAAAGGATCTAGAAAATGAGTACCCGATGCTGAGAGACACCTGTGTGTGATGCCTTCACTCACGGGGGTGCTGTCAGTTGGTGCCCGGAAGGGCCTCCCCGACTCATCCTGGGGCTCTGAGCACTTGGTCACCCTGGTAGGGCCGAAGCCCAGATAGGCTTGGGTCTGAAGGTTGTGCAGTGCTCTTGGACGTCCTGAAAGGGGCCCCCGGGGTAAGAAGCTTTCTGAGTGGCCTAGGACTCTTCTACAGCAGTCACAACCCACATCCCCCACAGCCAGCCGGACCCAAACCGCTTTGACCGTGACCGGCTTTTCAGAGCGGTCTCCAGGGGTGTCCCCGAGGACTTGGCTGGGCTCCCAGAGTACCTGCGCCGGACCAGCAAGTACCTCACTGACTCCGAGTACACAGGTAGGCCTGTCCTGCGGGCACAGCCGTGGCGTTCTCTGCTTATGCTGCAACTGGGCTGATGGGGTGTGACCTTGACTGTGGTCAGGAGCTAAGGGGCAAGTGTTGGTAGTAACTGCCCTCCCAGAATGGCTCCCAGACAGAGCTGAGGGTGGCCTGCTAACATCGTGGCCGCGCGGCCCCTGCCTCCCACTCACCAGCCATTTCAGTAGTGGGCATTTCAGTGCATTCTTCTTCTAAAAATAGTAACCATATCATTAAAATATAACGTATGCACCATATACTTCATCCATCTCAGAACACTCTGTGCCAAATGTCAAATCCTTATTGTTTGGATGGGTTAGGAAAATAACATTTGTGCTCTCTGGAAGATTCAAATAGTAATAAAATACACAAAGTGGTAAAATCCGTTAAAGATATACTTCTATCTCCATGATTCTGACCACTGCTGAATTTGTTATGGTATAGATTTACCATCGTTTCGTCAGCTGACTTTTTGCTGTGGCCCTTTAGGTGCTTTGTCGTTGCTGGCCTCAAATACTGTGTGTTAAGCATTTTGTACAGGATTCTATCTGACTCTGGAATACCCTGACAACAACCTTGGAGTAGACCCATTTTACAGGAGGAAAACCAGGGTTAAGAGAGGCCAAGTCATTTACAAGAAGAGATAGAACCATCACTTAACCACTGCTCTGAATGTTCTGGAATAGACAACATGGCATGCTTCTATGTTTTAGAAATGCAAATTCTAGGGTAGAAACTAGTCACGCGTGCTGGTCATGTTAACACCTCTTAACTTCAGCCTTGCTGCTATGCTGGCACGGTGGCTCCCTCCGGTCTATGTGACAACCTTTTAATCCTTCCAAGGAGCACTTTGGAGCCTGGGCTCACTGTACAGGCTGCTGGGCAGCCAGCTACTCCAGAGCTGAGCACCCTGTTCTCCTCCCTCTCTGCCCCCCACAGAGGGCTCCACGGGGAAGACTTGCCTGATGAAGGCTGTGCTCAACCTTCGGGATGGGACCAACGCATGCATCCTGCCACTGCTGTGTATCGACCGGGACTCTGGCAACCCCCAGTCCCTGGTCAATGCCCAGTGCAAGGATGCCTACTACCAAGGCCACAGTGCCCTGCACATCGCCATTGAGAAGAGGAGTCTGCAGTGTGTGAAGCTCCTGGTGGAGAATGGGGCCAACGTGCATGCCCGGGCCTGTGGCCACTTCTTCCAAAAGAACCAAGGGACTTGCTTCTATTTTGGTGAGGAGCTTTTCTTGCATAAATTGAAGCACAGCGAGAATAAAGCTTTGCCCAATTAGCAGGGTTAATGTGTCAGAGAGCTGGCTTTTAAACTCTAACAAGGAGTAAGCAAGGAAAAGAGTCACATTAAATGAAACCAGCGGTAATAGGAACATCCTTTGTTGGTTCATAAGGACACTGTGAAGACAGATATTGCCAGTCTAACCCCCATGCTAGACTGCCTGAAAAAAGTAACTTGTCTTAAAAGCTTTTGTCTTGTCTGACAGAGGAGCTTGCCACACACTGCAGCCCAGAGCAGGGCCAGAGAAAGCCTGTCAGAACCGGCGGTGAGAGTAGACCAGACCAGGGCTGGAAAAGGGGCAGCAGAGGGCATGGGCTCTGTTGAAGAAAAGGAGGCAGGGGAAATGGGGATCCTGGCTGGCTGGCCTCTGTCCTGTTCCCTTAGAAGATCCAGGGCCTTAGTCCTCTTCTCCTTAGGTGAGAACTGGACAGAAGCTGCCCTTATCAGTGTTCAAGGAGAAGGCACATCCGCCCTGAGCTGAGCCCAGGACCATCTCCCTCACAGTTCGTGCTTGAGTGGGGCCAGGCCCCCCAGGCAATGCTCCATCCTCTCCTGTGGGTGCCCTACCCATTTCAAGGAGACCTGACCTTCTGTCCGTGGAGGACCAGGAGTCTGGCATAGAAGCTGGGAGACCTGCCATCCTAGCTGCCCCCTCATCCCCCAGGTGAGCTGCCTCTCTCTCTGGCCGCGTGTACCAATCAGTGGGACATGGTGACCTATCTCCTGGAGAATCAGCGCCAGCCTGCCAGTTTGCAGGCTGCCGACTCGCAGGGCAACACGGTCCTACATGCCTTGGTGATGATTGCAGACAACTCAAAGGAGAATAGTGAACTGGTAATCCGCATGTATGACAAGCTCCTCCAAGCCGGGGCCCGCCTCTGCCCCACCTTGCAGCTGGAGGACATCCCCAACCTGCAGGGCCTCACTCCTTTGAAGCTGGCTGCCCAGGAGGGCAAAATTGAGGTGAGTGGGGATGGGGGGAGGAGGCCCTCTTCCTCTCCCTACCTGCTCAGCAAGACTCACCCTGAGGTTTCGGCACAGAGACTGGGGTGGTGGTCTAGATCAATGGTATCCCTACTTTTCCATTCCACTGCTATTAGAACATTGCAGCCTGCTCCTCTAGTCTCTCCATGCCTATGTATATAGATGATATATGGACTACTGAGCTAACATTGTGTCATATGCTAAAATAGAATGCTTTAAAAAGGTTGTTTGGATTTATTAGGAGACTGTCTTTTCATTTTCTTTGCCCATTTTACTACTAGATTTCCTCTTAGAGGGGCCTCCCTGGTAATGCAAGGGGTGAAGTCTCAGCACTGTCAAGCTATTGCTGGCCACTGTGGTCTGAGTTTAATCCCCAGCCAGGGAACTGACCCACATGGCCCAGCAGACCTCTTGTCTTGCCTGCTCCTCCCCTCAGCAGTGTATTTCTGTGGATCTGCCTGTTCTGCCCCCCACTTTGTCTCTGGTGGCTCCTCTCACCCTCTGCATCTCTAGCCTATACCCCAGTTCTTGTATGTATAAATAAATCTTTTTTAAAAATGATTTATTCTTAGACTATCTTCAGATTGATTGGTCAGTGTTCTTTATAACGAATTTATTAGCACTTTGTTTACTGTAATAGTTGCAAATTTTCCCCCAGCTCAACATTAAAAAAAATTATTATTATTATTATTATTAATTTTGCCACACAGGATTTTTACATTTTTGTATAGACAATCACCTTTTTCTTTAGGGTTCCTTGGTTTTGCTATAGCGTCATTCCTTCTACAAGTTTCTCCTTCTCAGTCTAGGTACCTATTCTATGTACACACATACTCTCTTTCAGATTTTGGCAGTTTCATTTTAAAGGCCTAAAACTTTGATTTATCTGGAAATATCTTGGTATAAAGGGTAAATATGATCCAGCTCTCTTTTTTTTCCAAATGGCTTATCAGTTGTGAGATCTTTATGATCAGGGCTGCCTTCTGTGCTGTTTATAGGGGATCCCGTGCTTACAACACAGGAATTTTTAAGAATATCACAAAAATAACCATAAGTACAGGTTTCAAAACTTTTCTTTTTTTGCATAAAAGAGCTGGGGTATAGGTCAGAGGCTTAGTTGAGAGGGTTCACCAGAGACAGAGTGGGGAGCAGAATAGGCAGATCTACTGTAATACACTGGTGAGGGGAGCAGCAGCTGAAACCAGAGAAGTCTGCTGGGTCAGCTCCCTGGCTGGGGGTGGAACTCAGACCTCAGTGGTGACAGCGCTGAGACTTAACCATTAGGGCACCAGGGAGGCCTGAAGTTTCCTAACTTTTCAATTACAAGTTCTGCCCACCAAGGGTGCTATGGTGTGCTTTGTTACCTAGTGGCATGGCTGAGTGGTCTTGAAAATCCCGCCCCAATCAGTTTTCTTCCCTTTATTCCTCATTTATGAAAGCAAATTGCTTCTCAACTTATTTGGGTTAGAGGCCCTTTCTGGTCCGTTGAAAAAAAAACTCTGGACTCTGACCACAGAAGTGCACGTGTGTGTGACTGGCAGCCTCTGATCTCAAGGGGCCTCAGGGACCTAGCTGGGGCTCTCTGTCATGTGAGGAGGTGCAGAAAGAAGACCAGGGGGCATCAGTGGGGGAGGAAGCACCAGGCTGGCTGACAGGCCTGAGCATATGTGGGTGGGCAGGAGCATCCACACTGGGGCTGAGCGTGTGCCCAGGGTGAGCTCACCCGTCTGCCTTAGCACCAAGAGGGGTCCATCTCCCAGTCAATTTGGGAGATGGTCCTGCAGGCCAAGCTCACATCGCACACCCTGCAGATTTTCAGACACATCCTGCAGCGGGAGTTCTCAGAGCCGTGCCAGTTCCTTTCTCGCAAGTTCACAGAGTGGTGTTATGGGCCTGTGCGTGTGTCACTGTATGACTTGGCCTCTGTGGACAGCTGGGAGAAAAACTCAGTGCTGGAGATCATCACCTTTCACTGCAGAAGCCCGGTGAGCTGTGGAGGCATGAGTATGTGCAGACGGCCTGGCAGGGGCACAATCCTGGCTACCTGCTGGACCATGCTGTTCCGTAACTGTGCCACTGGAGGGCAGGAGGGGGGCTGCACATCCTGTCCCTGGCCTCCAGGCCAATGCTCATTCCACATACCCATTCCATCAACACAGGACATGCCAAGGGCCAGGTTCTGTGCACCACCGCTTGCTTTGGACAGGAGGGACAGAGCCTCAGTCACACCATGGCCATGGGGGAGGGGTGGGGCAGGAAGGTAAGGGACATCCAAGGCACTCATCCTCCACTGCTGCCATCCCCTACACTGGACTCATGAGTGGGCCCTTTTATTGGCTTGCTGACTGTCCCCCTGCCTCTCGCCTTCCTGGCCAGCACCGACACAGAATGGTGGTTTTGGAGCCGCTGAACAAACTGCTGGAGGCAAAGTGGGACCTGCTCATTTCCAGGTTCTTCTTCAACTTCCTGTGTTACTTTGTCTACATGTGTGTCTTCACCGCAGTTGCCTACCACCAGCCTACCCTGGAGAAGGTAGGCCCAGGAAGGAGGAATGTCCAGGGTGGGGGTGGGGTGGGTATCTGGAAACAGCCCTACAAATGACAACAGCCAGCTCTGACTGCTTGGTGACGGGTCTGAGCTCTTATACAGCTGGTGAGAGTGTGGAAACCAGCACAGTCACCTAGCAAAATGGTGCCTGATATTGGGCTCGCCTGAGGTGAGCAAGTATTCTAAGTGATTGAGGGGTATTTGTTTAGTTAATGCTCACAACGCCCCCCCCCCAAGATGATGAATTATTATCACCCCCAGCTTACTGCTAAGGGAAGGGAGGCACAGAGAAGTTAAGTAATGTGTCCAGAGTCACAGAGGCTGCAAGGTGGGCTCTGAGCCCCGGGGCCTGGCTCCAGCCCCCATCTCATGCGCCTTTCAACAGACTAGAGCCCAGGGCTCCTGCCCCGGAGATGTGTTCCCTGTGCTGCTCTGAGTGTCCACACGCAGCTCAGCTGCTGCCCTCAGGGCTAGAGGGACCCAGCTCCCAGGGCCTCTCAAGTGTCTCTTTAGCAGGTCTCCCTCCCCATGAAAGTGACTGCGGGAAACTCCATGCTGCTGCTGGGCCACATCCTGATCCTGCTGGGGGGGATCTACCTCCTCATGGGCCAGGTGAGGGCTCCCCCTCTTCCCGACCCCATGTGGCTCCCAGCCTACCAAGAAGCAAACCTAGAATTCTGCTACAAGGAACCTTAGGGTCAGTTTGCTACAGTCTCTTCATTTGCGGACAGGTGAAGCCCAGAGCAGCTTTGGGACCATTGAGGTCTGTGGTTCTGACCTTGCCTTCTGGGACTGGGTGCCCTCCAAGCAGTCCAACTCCCCAGCAGGGTCTCTTCAGTTGAAAGTGCGGCAGGCTTGCAGGAGACAGGCAAGGTGCAGAGTGGGCAGAATTTGGGCACCAAATCCAGGTTGGCTGGGGGTACAGGGCCATCCCTGGGAAGGTAGGGAGAGGAGAGAACAGAGCCCCCTCTTTGCCATGTGCAGCACTTTAATTCCTCCACATCCAGAGGGAGCCTGGAGGTCCCTGGCATTGTCTTGATGTCTGCGGGTGGACGTACTTTTGGGAAAGTTTCCAAAGTGTCTCTATTATCAGCAAGCTTCACAAGTCAGAGTTGCTGCCTTAACCCCAAAGTGGTGCTGTTCAGGCTCCCAAGGGCCAGGCCAGTGAGCAGAGAGCCTGAGCCCTGGCCCTATGGGGCAGAGGGGGCCCCCTGCGGCCTGGTGAGCAGTTTCCCACTCCCTGTGTTCCTTCCTGCAGCTGTGGTACTTCTGGAGGCGCCGCTTGTTCATCTGGATCTCGTTCATGGACAGCTACTTTGAAATCCTCTTGTATGTGGGGCCTCACCCCTCAGCCTCCGGGCTCCGGCTTTGGCCCAGGGAAAGTGGGTGTGGCAGCGGCCACAGCAGTGAGCACTGGGTTGGCTTTAGGGGAGAAGATGCCGTCCTGGGGAGTTACCGGGAACTGAAGCCAGAGCACAGGCCAGATTCAGGATTCCAGGCTGTTATCTAGCCTGGGTGCTCCATGCTCCTACCCTGGTTATCATGACGATGATGAGCCTCGCTCTGCACCAGGGGAGCCCGAGCGCCTTCCAAGTTGAGTCTCACTAGATTCTCACAGACCCTCCGTGAGTCAGCTCAGCCCATTTTACAGGGGAGGGGACTGAGGCCCAAGGGATTAAATTACTTGTCCAGGATGGAAGCGGTTAGGACCTGATAGGGCCCAGCCTCAGACAGCTGGAGCGAGCAGTGGGAGAGGCGGTAGGGGTCAGCACTGGCCAGTGGGGGTTGGGGGCCCTGGCCAGGTGGTCTGCAGGCTGACCGGGACCCTGCTCCTGTGCAGCTTGCTCCAGGCCCTGCTCACCGTGCTGTCCCAGGTATTGTGTTTCCTGGCCAGCGAGTGGTACCTGCCCATGCTTGTGTCCGCGCTGGTGCTGTGCTGGCTGAACCTGCTTTACTACACACGCGGCTTCCAGCACACGGGCATCTACAGCGTCATGATCCAAAAGGTGAGAGGCAGGCAGGGGTGGCCTCGGTGAAGCCGGACTTGACAGGGCTGGCACCACTTTCTCGTGAGCCTCCTTTGGGTCTCAGCAGAGGAGCAACCTCCACAGTTGACTTGGACAGAGGAGAATTTGTCTGTCTGTGCATCAAGCACATATCTGCTCTTAGGGGTCTGCGCTCTGCATATTTAAGGAAACACATGCACAGGTGTGTGCTCGCAGGTGTCCACAAGCCCGCTGAAGGACACTTGCACATATGGGAGTATGCTTGTGCCTGCATTCATGTATTCATTCAGCAAATCTCTAGGGAATGTGTACTATGAGGAAGATCCTGGCTAGGTGTTTTACTTAGAAAGCAGACAGTCCTTGATCTCCTGAAACTGATATTCTAGTGGAAGAAATGAAAACACTAAGAAAAGGAGAACATTACAGACTGCTAAAGTTTATGAAGAAAATACACAGGACAGGGTGATGGAGGATGACTGTGTGGTGGGTGCTTTAGAGGGAAGTCCCAAGGAAGCTTTGACGTGAAAGAATGACTCAGCCACCACAGACTCAGGGAAGCATGAGACACAAAGGGATGGTGTGCGCCAAGGCCAAGAGTGAAGGAAAAAAGCAAAGAGCTGGGCAGAGTGAGGAGAGGAAGTTAGAGGGGCATGGCAGCCTGGGGCTGTGTTGGCCTTGGGGAGGGGTCGGAGTCACCTGGAGGATTGTTCTTTCCTTTCAAATTGTGGCCAAATGCACACAACACTACTTACCACCGTAGTCATCTGTTACACCTCAGGGGCAGTAAGCACACCCAGTCTCCAGCAGCCCTGCACCTCCTTCTCCACAGCCATTTTTTTCCAGAGATTGAAACGACTTGCCCCTGGTAACTCCACATCTGCTCCTCTGAGTCCCTGGCAAACACCACCTTACCTTCTGCCACTCCGAGTGCCTCCCATAAGTGGGATCACGTAGTATGTGTCTTCTTCGGACTGACTGATTTCACTTGGCAGACTGTCCTCAAGGTCCGTTCGTGCTGGAGCCTGTGCCACAGTCTCCTTCCTTTTAAGGCTGACGTCCCAGGCATGTGTCTCCACACTTGGCGTACTGTATTTGGAGGATAAATGTTTTGTTTATCCCCTCATCTGTAAGTGGACACTTGGGTACTTTTAGCGTTCGGCTACTGTGAATAATGTGGCTATGAACACAAGTGCAGAATTATCTAGCTGAGTTCCTGGTTTTGATTCTTTGGGGTACACACACAGTGTGGAGGTGCTGGATCATATGGTAAATCCTTTTTCTTCCTGGAAGGTTTTAAGCAGGAAAATGATGTGATTAATGTTGTTGTTGTTGTTGTTTTTAAAGATTTTATTTGTGTGTGTATATGTGTGTGTGTAAAACTGGGGTATAGGGCAGAGGTACAGGGGGTGAGGATTTACCAGAGACAGAGTGGGGAGCAGAACAGGAAGACTTACTGAAATACGCTGCTGAGGGGAGTGGTGGGAGAGAAAGGAGGCGTCTGCTGTGCCATGTGGGTCACTCCCTGGCCGGGATTGAACTCAGGCCATCACAGTGATAGCACTGACTTTACCCCTAGGCTGCCAAGGAGGACCCGCTCCTGCTTTTTTTAAACCCCAGCTGCTCAGTGTGTCTCCACAAGGCCCCATATATGCAAATGTGTGTGGGTGTGTATGTGTGTGGCATACTTGGGAACCCATGCTTGGGGTCAAGGGAGAGGCCTGGGGTCATGCCTGGTGGCTGAGCCATTCAGCCTGGTTCCCTGCACCTGTGTTCCAGGTCATCCTTCGGGACCTGCTTCGCTTCCTTCTGGTCTACTTAGTCTTCCTTTTTGGCTTCGCTGTAGGTAAAGGCCCCTTGCCCATCCCTTGCCCACCCTGGACACCCCTGAGGCTGCCTACTAACCTCCCAGGCTCAAGACTTTCCCATCTTCCTCCTACAGCCCTGGTGAGCCTGAGCCGGGAGGCCCAGGACCCTGAGGCCCCCACAGGCTCCAATATTACAGTGGCAGCGCAGTCCAAAGCAGGACAGGAAGGTGAGGAGGGCAACTCTGTCCCATATGGGGGCATTCTGGATGCCTCCTTGGAGCTCTTCAAATTCACCATCGGCATGGGTGAGCTGGCCTTCCAGGACCAGCTGCGCTTCCGTGGGGTGGTGCTGCTGCTGCTGCTCACCTACGTGCTGCTCACCTACATCCTGCTGCTCAACATGCTCATCGCCCTCATGAGTGAGACTGTCAACAGCGTGGCCACAGACAGCTGGAGCATCTGGAAGCTGCAGGTGCCTATGGGAGCTGCTCCCCCTCCCCAAGTTTGGGTCCAGAGAGGAGTGGGCAGGACCCAGCTGAGCCCAGCCCTGGGTAGCTGCACCCTTGTGGGTGTTTCCCTCATCTATCCCTTCTGTCCTTTGGGTTGTTGGAGGACCAAATAAGCTCTAAACCCTTAGGACAGTGCTTAGCACAGAGTCAGGCCCAATGTTTTTGTTATTATCATCAAGTATGTGTTGGGTGCCCACTCTAGACATTTTGCAGGTAAGGACATGGAGGATCTCCTTATCTTCTCTGAACCTCTGTTGGGTTCGGTTCTAAAACAAGACAAAGGGCCTCATGACTCTCCCATTTGATGCTCAGTTTGGTGAGCAAGGCAAGTCAGATGTGAAATTCTTGAGTTGGCCCAGCTTAGGGAAGCTGGGAGTATAGATGCCTCTGATATGACACTAACCTACAGTGAAGGCAACAGCTGCTTCTTCACCTGTGAGGGTTAGGGTGAGTGGGCAGTTGCTACAGGGAGAGCCTCGCCCAGCAGGCTGGACTCTGTTGCCAATTCATTGTTGACTTTGTACAATCCCCTTGTCTGAGCCTCTGCACCCCCACCTGCAAAGCTCTGAGCACCCCCTACCTCACCTGCAGGTCAGTGGGCAGGCACCAGTGTGGGGCAAATGAAGTCCATACCTGGGGGTATGCAATTCTGGAACCTGTAATTGTTGAGCTCCATTATGTACTGCCTGGAGTGCATTATCCTCAGTCTGCAAGTGGGAAACTGAGTTCCAGAAGGGTGGAGAGTCCAATACCCTTTCACCTAGTGAAACTTTGGAGCTAGGTCCAAACCCCGTTCTTTGGGTTATGCAGTAAAGGTGCACAGCACATCTCCCTGGCAGCTCTATCTCATGTTTCCTGTTTCCAGAAAGCCATCTCGGTCCTGGAGATGGAGAATGGCTACTGGTGGTGCAGGAGGAAGAAGCAGCGGGCAGGTGTGCTGCTGACAGTTGGCACCAGGGCGGATGGCAGCCCTGACGAGCGCTGGTGCTTCAGGTGTGTGAGGGTGCCTGGGGCCAGTATGGGGAAGGCCGGCCCAAGGGCGCCAGGAGTCTCTGTCCTGGACAGGCGAGTTTGGAGGTGCTGGATCACATAGCACGGGGCTGCCGTTTCCTGTCTTCCTGCCTTACCGGCTTACACTGACCTTGGTGGTCCCTGACCTTCTCCTGGCCTGGGGTACAGTGAGGAGCCAAGATGTAGAAGCACCCTTGGGTTATGGCACATTAGCCTTGCGCCTGTGAGTCTGCTCTGCCCTCCCAGCTTCCCAGGCTCACCACGGAGGCTACCACGTAGTGCAGAGAATAAGCTCTTCCATTTCCCAGGAAGGCCTGGGCAGTGGGAGAAGGTTCCTGGTACAAATGCCAGAAACACACTTGCAGGAGATAGCAGTTGCAAGAAGGGAGGGACTTAGGGTGTACAGTAGCCACAAGAGCCCCAGAACCCTGGCAAAAATCAGACACCCTTGATCTGAACTTTGCTCTGGATGTTCTGGGCAACACAGGTCCTATGACCAGCCCAAAGGGACAGATGCCCCCTCTTTCATGGCTGATTCCTGGGCCAGGGGGGTCACAGGCTCATAGCAGCCAGGATAGGACTCAGGTGGGATGGTGGGTGGCCCAGTGTCATGTGGAAAAGGGCAGGAACATCCCATCCTTCTCACTGTCCCTTGTCTACCCAGTGGGGGCCAGATCCCACTCCTGGGGTAAAGCAGGTTGTAGCCCTGGCTTTCCTGGAACCTTGGCCACTCTGCTTTCAGGGTGGAAGAAGTGAACTGGGCTTCTTGGGAGCGTACACTGCCCACAGTATGTGAAGAACCTTCAGGGCCAGGCATGTCTGGTGAGTAGTCACAGTGGCTGCTGCCCCGCTGTGTGTGTGTGTGTGTGTGTGTGTGTGTGTGTGTGTGTGAGAGAGAGAGAGAGAGAGAGAGAGAGAGTGTGTGTATTCCTTGGCGGCTTCCTCCCAGATTCACCCTAGAAAGCTCCTCTTAAGGTGAAGCTCCTTAAAATGATCCTTTCCTCCTTTCCTTTCTACCCCATCTCCTTGCTGGCTGCCCTTGAGCTCCAGACATCCTGAGGTAGTCACTGTCTCCTCCAGACCAGCCTTGGTCCTGTCCTCATCTTTCACATTCACACTATCTCCTCCTGGGTGTGGGGGGGTTCCAATCACTGCATCCTGTGCCCATGTAGTACCAGGCCTGGGCTGTGGGGCCCCGGCACTGGGATAGGGAAGGCCCCTTACCTGGCTCACAGCTTGGGTGGCCATCTCCCCGGGCCCACACTAGCTCTGTGCTGATGGGCCAGCCTTGCTGACTGCACTTCCCCACTACAGAAAGCCCCTGCCCCCATATCTCTGAGGAGGAGCCACTTCCCATGCCTTTCCCCTCTCATGGCTGCATCCTCTCCATACCAGTATGGTGATGACCCCTTATGCTGCCTCCCACCAAGATCCACTCCTCCCCGCAGCCCTGTTCTCAGGATCAGCTCTCTACACTGCATGCCCTTTGTGGAATTTTCACTTGCTGTCACCTCTGGCCTTTCATTGGTCTTCTTACTCTCTTATTGTCTGTCTGACAAACTACTTGCTTATGTCTGTGGTGCTGACCATGAATCCATGATTCCTGGTATTCTGTTCCACAGCCTGCTGGTTTCCCAATATCCTGGGCCCCTACCAGCATGGCCCTCACAAACCCACCCCCTCTTGGTGTCTCTCTTCCCCTGAGTCCAGCCACCCTGTCACTTCAGTGCCAACTCTCTGAAAGTTACCTTGCTCCTCACCTTGTTCCAAATAACTCCACATCCAAGTCTTGCCCAAGTACTTGCCCCAGGAACTCCAACTGGACATCCCCTGTGAAGAGAGCTGGGGGTGAGGGGCCTATCAGGTAACATGGGTATAACCCCACCACCTCCTCATACAGGTGGGAGACCCTGAGCTTCCACCCACCGCCCTTCACCTGGTGCTGCCTGTACTCAGCCAGTCCCAGGTGTTCCGGTCTCTAACACAGAAAGCCTATCACCTCCAGGGTAAACTCCAGGATCGCCTGCTGTCTACAAGGCATAATGTAGCTTGGCTGTGGCCTCTACCTGTTTCCCTGGCATTTGCCTCCGGGGGACGCAGCCCAAGGGCCAAGCCACAGAGCTCTTCCTTCTGTTTACAGGCACCATGAAGAGCCCTTCCCTGACCTCCCAAAACGGGGAGGACAGTGCCTTGGAGGAAGACCACCTGCCTCTCCGGCTCCTGGAGTCCCGCTGATCACCCAGATGTATGAGGACACCGGCAACTTACAGCAGGGAATCTTTCCAGCTATAATTGCTGGCTCTGGGGCCCCAGGAAACTTTGATGGCAAATATATTTTCAAATGATGAACTTTCCTGGAAATGTGATTTGTGCAAAGTTACTGGGTCTTTGGGAAAGTTGACATCTACAAGTCTCTGTGGGCATATGTCTGTGCCTTTCTCATCTTTGCATGGGAACAGGAGACCCTCACCCCCCCCCCCACCCCAGCCTGAGGGCTGTCTTCTCCTGGGTGCAGGCAGTTGGCTGTGGTGCTGTGCCTGCTGTCAGGGCAGATGTGGTCACCCAGGTGACCCTGGAGTTCCCTGGCAATCCCACTCCCTGTCTCTGGATCTCAAGGTCACCCAGCTGGTGGATGTGGGCACTAGCCTCTAACATAGCTTCCAGAAACCGCTTAAAGCCACTCCCAAGATGTGTCTCAAAGCCTTTGAGATCCTTGGCTTAGTTCAGGCCCTGGATGATTGTTTTTCCCACAAGGCTTCCCGCTCAGTTCCCAAGCTGTTCTCAGCAGAGCAGCCAGAAAGGCCTTCCTAAAAGAGAAAAATGTTACTTCTGTGCCCAGAATCTTGAGAGGCTTCCCATGCTGGTGGGATACCCTAGGTGGTAGCCCGAGGCCCACAGCTTTGCCCAAGCGTTTCCAGACACCACCACCTTCTTCCATAGCTGGCTGTCCTCCATGCTCCTAATGCTTTCACTCAATTCCTCAGGTAAGCTGATGAACCTCCCGTGTTTGACCTCTTGACTTGGTTCTTCTGAGGAGCCTCCCAAGTCCTCAGCGATTAAAGTCCTACAGATTTCTAATACCAGCTCAAAAATTATTGCTCTGCTACGGGTTTCTAGTTTTCTCCAGGCGAAACGAATCCCTCCCTTGGTGTTTTTTGCAAATGTGTATACAGACCTGAGCATGTTCACAGGCTGAAAGGAAAACGCTATCAGAGGGACAGTTCCAGGCGGCTGAGAGTGGAGTACCGAGTGGGGGGACCCTGAGAAATCAGGGCGCAGAGTGCAAATGGATCCAGATAAGGTGAACTCAGCTCCTCAAAGGCGATTCTGAAGAGTAAACACGAGAGTCGCCATCTCAGGGGTCTGAGCAAGTTCGTGGATGTTATTAAATAGTTGGGGGGAGAAAGCCTCCAGCCCACGTTCCTTGTTGGGAGGAGCTAATACTTAGGAATTCTCGCTGCCTGCTAAGCTCTGCAGGGTTTCAAGTGTGTTAGCTGACGTGCTCTTCAGAAGTCTCTGCCGCACCGTGTCCACTCTCGCGGGGAGCAACCCAAAGCCCATCAAGGAGCAGGATTGGCCCCAGGTCACCCAGTGGGCGTGGCGGGGGCGGGGGCGGGGGCGGGGCCCGCTAACCGCACCGCGAAGCCCGTGCGCAGGCGTCCCGGAACTTGCCGCGCTCGCGGTTGCCCAGAATGCGCAGGGACGTGGAAGAGACCACGAGCTCTCAAGCAGGGGGGAGTCCACGGGTGATGCGGCGGAGTCTGTGGTTACTTGGGCCGGACGTTCCCGTGAGCCTTTGCCAGTACCACCCTCGCCCGTGGCGAATGGGACGTTCCATCCCCTTAAGGGCCAGGGGCGCAGCGCCGTCAGTCTCTCGGCTTAGTGTTTGCCGTGCCGGTAGGTGTTTGTGTCTGCGGCCAGGGGCTGCGGTGAGGGCAAGTAGCGCTCTGCGGTCGTGACTTCTGGGTAGGTGTTTTCGAGAAGCCGAAGTTTAGGGTGGAGGTTGGCTCTCGTAATGGCAGGCTTCCTGGGGCCAGCACCCACGTGCCCGCGGGGCGGGCCCTGGCGGTGTCTTGGGGAGTCTGGAGGCCACGCTGGGCCAAGACAAATGGAGCGCACGTGCGTTTTGTCTTGCAGGGGCGCCCCTTCTCAGGAACTCGAGGTGCCAGGAACCCGGTCCCAGTTTCCCCCACCTGCCATGCGTGCGCAAATGCGGGGGGCCAGAGTAAGTGGGGGGGGGGTCTTGCCTGCACCCTGCACATGGGCGCTTTGTGATACAAGCACGGGGAAACTCACCCGACTGTCATGATGATACTGATATTAGGAAGTGCCGTCAGAAGCGATAACTGACGATTTTTATATCTCTGATAGCAGTCACTGAAACCTCGACCCTTTTGTAGAACTCACCTGCCAGAATCTCCTGAATGTATGTTCTGTTGCAGGTGGGAAGCTCACTGCAGGGTACTGACGGGAGCGACATCCCACCTTGAGGTAAGAGTGTGCTTCGGGTTTAATTTGCCACTTGGGTCTCTGCTGGTTTATAGTTACAATAATTTTCATGTATCCAGCATGATTATATACTGCTTCACTGCAAAGATTGGGGCCTTAAGTAAAAGTTGGAGATGGCTGCTCCTTAACTGTATTTAAGTCAAAACTGTTTGCAAGAATACACTGCATTAAAATGTCTATTTGTAATGTAACTTAGGTTTATTCCCAGTGCCTAGTTCTGGAGCAGTACAGGGGAGTGAGTTGTCAAGGGCTTGACTGTTCTGATGAAATCACTAATAGGAAGTGCCGTCAGATGCGATAACTGACGATAACAGTTCCTGGCTGACTGCAGTCAAGTCTCCACCAGTTGCTCGTCCTCAGGAATGACCTGCTTTGAACAGTGACCCTTAATTTTTATATTTATCAGGTCTCATGCTAGTGAAGGATTGCCAGTATGTGGTCAGCAGTTTGAAAAAGCAAGGAGCATTGGCCTGTGGGGTAAGCTGATACGCTACAATGCTAGATCCTTAATAATTATCAGATACTGATTTAAGTTCATTGTTACACGTGGAATACTCACTTTGGCCCGTGGCTGTACAATCCAGAGCAGATGGCCCTTTTGTTCAGAGGTGCCGTTTCCCCTCCTCCTTTAGGTGAAATCTAAGGTAGCCTGGATGTTTAATCAGATAAGCAAAATAGGACTGGTTGACTTCTGGGCTCAGATTAGGATACTTCTTTCTGGTTGTTGTGGTCAGTACTGTTTTCAACATTTACTGACAGTGGGGTTCCTCTCCCCCTTTCCAGGTTTTAAGTGCTGGAGAATGTGAATGAATGAGCAATGCAGAGCTTTGAGTTGGGTTGAAAAGCAGCTCAACAAACCAAGAGGTAAGATTTGATATGAACACTGACCCCTATGGTGGGATAAATAAGCAACTTTTGTTAAGATTGAAAAAAAAGGCTATCAAATGATGAATTCACCTAAACAAGCTGGAATTACCGGCAGATGTGTAGTGGTGAATCTATGGTTTTCTGAAGGTACCTTCAATGCTGTGAATGAATGACTGTTGGTTACTGTAGGAAGTGGAACTGAAACTTAATGTCTTTGCAGGCTGCTTTGGCAGAGGATGGCCATCCATGGCTCAGGAGGAAGCAGTTTGAAATCTCAAGAGGATCAGTAGCCACCATCAGTCAGGACTCTGAACATTCTGGTTTTTCTAGTGCTTCATGCTCAGCAGGAGCTTCTGTATCTCTCAGTACTATGTAAAGTGACCCAAAGACAGGTCTGAGTTCTGTAAGCTGGAAACTTATTTCCTTTGCAAACTAATGTTCTGTTATTTCTATAAATTTAATACTGTAATAAAGCACAATCTCTGGTATTGGTTCTTAAAAATGTATTTGTGGAAAAAAGTTAAATTTGGTAACCATTGTCACATATTAACAGTCCAGGCAGGTATAAGCAATTGTCAACTCCCCTAGAGTCAGTTTAACCTGTTTTCATAAGAGAGTATAAAGTATGCAAGGTATAATCCTTTTGATTTACTTGTCTAGAGCTACAAGGTCTCTGACCACCAAACCCCACTTTTGGGTTGGGATCTTGCTGCCTGGCCTCAAACTGCCTCTCTAGCACCCCCTGCTGTTTGCTGATGGGTACTGGATCAACTTTTGGGCATCTGGGCAATTTTCTTCTGGCTCAAGAATGTTGGTTCCCCTTGAAAGCCTTGAGTTTACAGCTCCCTTCCATCTGTCTTACTTTGAGGCACTAGTTCCGCCAAGAGTTTGAAGCGTTGGCTTCATCTACATTGTCCTGCATTTCTGATGGTTTATTGGGAATGCTCAAAGTATCAAGGACTACCTATGATTCCACAAGGATCTTTGTGGAAGACTTAAAATCCTAGAAGCAGGACTCAGCTACATAAGGTCTGTCAGTTGATGGGAGTGAAGGGATGTGGGGCTTGAGTGGACACCCTGTTTGCCCACAGGTACCACGGCGATGGCTGCTTCCAGGCAGTTGGTAGAACAGTAGAAGGGTGGGCCACAGAAATGGAGAAGCAGATTAGGAACTAGACTGGAGTTCCACAAGGGAGGAGGGAGAGTCTAGGTGGGGCAGCCAGGAGTGAGGGTCAAGATTCCAACCTGACTGGAGCAGGTTCAAATGGAATGGCCGAATTGGAAAATCCCATGTTAGATGTAAAACCTCATCTACACTCCTTGCACTTTAGCTCAAGCTTCATCTATACTGTACCAAATTTGGGGAGGCTGAGTGAATGATACCTCTTGAGCCAGGAATGACTGTAGGAGCCAAAAGTCAGATAAACAGGTTGACACAGGGAGATGAAGAGGGCCAAAGAGCAGTATTAACACAATCTCCCTTTTCCAGATGCTACAATCTGGTTTATCATGGGTGGGGGCCCCCCAGGACATTATTAGGCCTGAGCCCCCTTATAGAAGCCCTATAGGGCCTGCTTTGGCCACCCTACCCCGCAAGGACTCCTTGGTGAGGACCCCTACTTGCATGTCACGTCTGAGCTGCATCTACAAGCTCCCTGCCCTTGTGCTCTTGGGCTAGGGCCAGAGGGCCTCCCCCAGGGTCCTGGCCCACTGTGCCATCCCGGGCCTCCTCCCCACCACCTGGGCCCTCACCCAGCTCTAGGATGGTGGGCAGGTGGCCTTGCTTTGGGGAGCGTTTGCGCAGGCTGAGGAGGAAGGGCTGGGGCAATGAGAAGATGTCCACGTTGTTGCCCAGGTCAATCCATGTGACATTGGGAAACTTGCTGGGGTCTTTAAGGGTGTCGGTGAGGTCTCGCAGCAGGGCCCGAGTCAGCCGGTTTCCGTTGAGGGCCAGTGTGGTGAGGCGGGGCAGTGTGCTGAGTGCCGGCAGCAGCTGTAGGACCATGTCGTCCGTGAGGCCTGTGAAGCCCAACTCCACGCTATCCACCTGCTCCCCACAGCGCTGCAGGTAGCTAGTTACTCGCTCCAGGTCACGAGAGGTCAGTGGGATGCCGGACAGGTCCACTGTGTTGTCTGGAGGACTCCCGGCCAAGACGGCCTTGAGGCTAAGGGGAGAAGGGACAAGCGAGTGAGGCAGGCCTGTTCCCCAGTGGCAGCAGTGGCCACCACCACATCAGCCTCTACACTGCCGGTGTCTCCAGGAATGAGAGAAACCAAGGACTGCTGGCTCCCTAACGTCACCCCACATCTCAGCTCGGCTGGGCCCACCTGGCCAGTGAGGGACCACAAGTGAAAGGCCCACGTGTTTGCACTGACTATAAGGGTACATTCTGGGGCCAAAATGTCTCGGTTTGCATCTTAACTCTTCTTACTTGTGTGACCTTTTGTTTGTTAACCTTAACTTCTTTCTTCCTCAGTTATTTGTCTGAAAAATGGAGCTGAGTACCATAGGGTTGTTAGGTAAAATGTCATTGTAAAGCACTTAGAACAACATCTTGTATAGGTGTGACAAATATTCCCTCTGTCAAATATTCATGATATACGCTCTGCCATGAATCACTCGGGCTAGGCTTCCTCCTTCCCCAAGAGTGGCACAAGATGTCTAAAATCTTTCTTTCCAGACCACCTCCCCCACCAGACAGGGCCTCATGGAGAGGCCTGGGGCACAGCAGGCAGGGAATGTGCAGGGCACAGGGGCTCCCATGTGCAGGAGTTGAGCTGACTCCTGCAAGCTGATGCTTCTAGGTGCCTTTGGCCCCTTTTACTTCCTCCCCTTGTTTCTTGGCTGGCAACAGACTGCCCCCTTTTCAGCCCCCTGGCAAGCCCTGAGGTGGTTCCAACCCAGCAGGAGGAAGGAGAGGCAGCAGGAGGGTGTTCACCACCTGCTTATACTTGAGCCAGCAGTCCACAGACCACAGCGTGGGCATCCTCTTGGCAACAGAGAATAAGTCCCTACCTTTGGGGTCTCCTGAAGCTGGAAGTCTGCTCATCTCACCTCTCACTGGGACCACTCTCAGGGAGTCTGAAGGTAAAGCTCTCAAGGCCTGACATCTAAGCACTTGGAACACTGCCTAACATTTATTCGTTCAGCACAATTTAAGTGTTGGGTGTTATTCTTATTGATGTCATTAATAATACAGATGTATTACACCAGAAGTAGGTAGTGTGGTGGTTAACAGCTTGGGGATAGAATCCAGCCCCACCACTTACCAACTGGGTGATCATGGCCCAGTCAAGTGGCAACAGTTAACACACCTCAGTGAATCCTTTAAACAATGTTCAGTAAGTGCCTACTATGTGCCAGGTTCTGCCGTAGGCACCAGTGAACAAAATAGACAACATCCCTGTCTATCCCCAGAGTGGATAAACAACAAAGTGCAGCTCAAGGGTAGTTTGGAGTGGGGGAGTGGGCGGTGGGGTGGGCATGGCTACTTGGGGAAGGTTTGTCTGAGGAAGTGGCATTTGAGCGGACACATAAAGGAAAGGAAAGCTGTCGTCAGGAGAGTTTGTTAAGAATTCCAGTAGCATGAAGGGCATGTGCAAAGGCCCTGAGGTTGGAAAGAGGCCGGTGTGTCTTTGAACCAGTAGGGAGGTGGCAGGGAGGCCTGTGTGGCTGAGGTGAGGGAAAGCAGGAGGGCGCAGACCAGACAGGGCCTGTTTGGACTTTTTTTTTTTTTTAAAGATTTATTTATTCATATAGAACTGGGGTAAAGGCCAGAGATGCGGAGGGTGAGAGGCTTCACCAGAGACAGAGTGGGGAGCAGAACAGGCAGATCGACGAAGTACACTGCTGAGGGGAGCAGCGGGCGGGTCAGGAGAGGTCTGCCTCACCATGTGGACTCCTCAGGGGCAGGCGGGAATCGAACTCATGAGGAAGTGGCTTAAGCTTCGTAGTGCAGTGCTTTAACCCGCTGCGCCACCAGGGAGGGCCTGCCTGTTTGGATTTTACTCAGTGAGAAAGGAAACCACCTGAGGGGAGTGAGACTTCTAAAGAACAGACTGAGCATGCATGTGTTTAGAGGAGACAGGAGGCCCCTAGATTCTAGCAGAGTTCAAAATGCTAGCTTTCCAATCCTAAAGAAATAGCTTGATTTCTGTGGGGTTTTCCAGGTTCCATGGGCCTTCCTGGGGCTCGCTTCCTGAGAGCCTCAGTCTTCTTCCACCTAGGAAGGTCTCCAGGATCCAACTGCTGTCGTAGGCCAGGGGGAGAGGGGTCCAGGAGGGTGAGAGCAGCCAGAGCTGCTGCTCACCAGGAAGGCATTCCTCCTCCAGCAGTCAAACCCAGAAAGAGGTGAGCAGTGTCAAGGTACTGCTGGAATCTTTCAGAAACAAGCCACTCTGCCCCATGGTCATGGGCAAGGAAAGCTGGGTGCTTCCTCCTCCAGAAAGCCTTCCTGTTGGCCTCCCTGCCACCTTACTGGTTCAAAGACACACCAACCCCTTCTCAACCTTGGGGCCTTTTCACATACCCACCACTCGGCTGGCATTCTTAGCAAGCTCACTCTTCCCTTATTTTGGTCTTGGCCCACAGGTTCTATGTCCTGCATGTTCCCCCTCCCCAAATCTTCTCTGGGGCCACACAGCTGCGGAGGGTCCTCTGTGCTGCATGGGCCAGGGACAAGGCTGGGAGCTGAGTCTGCCTAGGGGACAGCCAGAAGCATTGGAGGATCCAGAGTACCAAGAGCAAGAAATTCCTCATGTCCTCCCCACCTACCCATCTGAATGGGGGCACACCCTACTCTAGGACTCTGCGGCCAGCACCTCTCGTGGCTTGTGCCCACCTCTGGGGTGGTCTCTTTCACCCCTGAATGCTTTAATCTCACCTTGTCCAGGTAGCCTTCCAAGCCAGTTCCATCTGTTTCCAGCTCTTCCCTTCACTCCACTGCCCTGGGGGGTGGGGGGGTGGGGGGTCTCTGCACCACAGGACCCATCTGGTATAGACTGTTAGGTTGGCTTTGTAGAAGGCTGGATGGGGGCAGGGCAGATGGGCCTCAGGAGACCAGAACTCACCAGGCCTGCGGCTTCCTCTTCACCAGCCCCCGGGGCCGCCTCCATTGGGAGTGGGGGCTGAGGTGGTAGGTCAGCTGCCGGCACAGCTTCTCCATGGCACCCAGTGCATCGCCTTCCTGCAGAGGCAACCGCAGGCCATGGGTTCCCGAGTCAGTGGAGCAGGTGGGGGATCCTACACCCCTACTTTCCGTTCCCTGCCTCTGCCCCAAGCTGAGGTGGGGCAGGTCTGCTCTGCTGGTGTAGGGCGGGTGCCTTAGCAGAGGGCAGGTTGCAAACTGAGTTATATGGTGCTTTGAGTTTCTGTGAATTAGTTGCTATTACTGAAAAAAATTGAAATTTATACAAGTCTGGGTTCCATATATATTTGCTCAGCAAATATTATCTGAGTACTGACTGGGTACCAGGCACTTGCTCCAGGAGCTGGGGACACAGCCATGAACATAAATGTCTTTGCTCTCATAGTTTACATAGAAAGATGAAAGTGAAACCTTTTCACATGTCTTGTTACCCATGTCAGAAGCTGGAAAATAAAAGAATGAGGGGACAAACAAGTCTTTCCCAACCTAATTCACTCAGTTACATTATCTTATGGCTCATCGGATTTGCCTGTCAGACCCTGGATATGATAAACTGAATTGTGTCCCACCCCAGATTTTTAGGCAGAAGTTCAATCCCCAAACCCTCTGAATGGGACCCTATTTAGTGACAAAGAATTTAAAAAGATAATTAAGGTCCTCCCTGGTGGTGCAATCTCAGCACTAAGAAGTTATCTGCAGCCACTGCAGTACAAGTTCGATCCCCAGCCAGGGAGGTGACCCAAGTGGCTTAGTAGATCTCTCCTGTCTCACCTGCTGCTCCACCCTGCAGTTTATTTCAGTAGATCCACCTGTCCTGCTCCCCACTCTGTCTATGGTGAATCCCCTCACCCCTGTACCTCTGGCCTATGCCTCAGCTCTTTTATGCATAAATAAAATCTTAAAAAAGAGGTGATTAAAGTAAAATGCGGTCACTGGGCAGGCCCAATGCATTATCAGGACGTAGGCACGTATAGCAGGAAGACCATGTGTAGACAGAAGGAGCGGGTGGTTGTCTACAAGCCCGTGAGAGAGAGGGGCCTCGAAGACACGAACCCTGCTGACACCATTTTGGACTTCCAGTCCCCAGGCTGTGAGGGCAAGCTCATGCAGTGGCTGAAGGACGCAGCAGAAGGTACTACAGAAACTCCAACTCTGTCCCAAGGGAGGCCAATTCAACAGTCACCGAGAGTGAGTGCCTAAGAGCATTCTCCCGCCAGATGGTCTGGTGCCAAGGAACACAAGCAGGAAGTGCCAGGGCTCGGATGCAAACCCACAAGCACATAGCAATGTGGATATGGTGGGGTTTAACCACAACCCACGTCCAGCACTGAGCTGAGTGCCTGGCGCAGAGAGCTGTCAGTCAAGGCCAGCGCCATTATCAGTATGATCCCTCTGCTAGTGGAGAAGGAGCACGCTCTTGGGGTCAAACTGTGGATTCACACCTTTGCTTTCCACCTCCTATGTGCCCCTGCAGAGTCCCTTGACCTTTCTCTGTCTCCAGGCTTCATCTGTGAAGGTGGATAACCATACTGACCTCTCAGATTTCGTGAGGGTGAATGCATGCTACTCGTAAAGGCTCTCCAAATAGAGCCCAGAACACAGTACGCTCTCCAGGAATACTGGCTAAATAAATACTGTGTTGTATTGTGAGAACAGCAAAAAACATGCAGAACTCTACACGGGTAAAGCAGGAAGGTTACTTTTGCCTAAGCTCAGACTTGATGGGCTTTTTTTTTTTTTCAGACTTATTTAGACATACAGAACTGGGGTACAGGCCAGAAATACAGGGGTGGTGAGAGGATTCACCATAGTCAGAGTGGGGAGCAGAACAGGCAGATCCACTGAAGTACACTGCTGAGGGGAGCAGCAGTGGGCCATGCCATGTGGGTCACCTCCGGGGCGGGGATCAAACTTGCGCTGAAGCTGCTGCGGCCAGCTTACAGTGCTGTGTCCTAACCCTCTGTGCCAACAGGGAGGTCCAGACTTGATGGGCTTTTAAGAAGAGTGGGTTACATGTTTGGATGAAGAAAGGCAACATTGGCACCCCAGAGTGAGAGGACACACTGTGCTAGAGTTTGGGGGGGGGCAGTGACAGGCATGGGGGCAGGTGACAATCCGGGCATGGCCCATGCACTTCTCACCACGTCCACAGCTACCCCTGTGGGCCAAGCCACTGTTGTGTCACCTGCATCGCTGCACAGACGTCACACTGGGACGCTACGGAATTCCTACAGTGCTCTAGAGCAATATGCTCTTGGGGAAACTGAGGCAGGTGGAAGGCTGAGGAGGAGCCCCTGAGGAAGGAAGACAGAGGAGGGAGGTAGAGTAACAAGAGGTGGTACGTGAAACATCAGAGCAGAGATTCAGAGGCCAGGGATGAAACTGGTTTAGACTAAGTCCTGGTCTCCAGTTGTCCGTCATGGCGTCCTACTGCCCAAGCCTGCCTGAGAGAGTGAGAGAGGGTGAATGTCACCTGTCCCTCTGGGCAACTGCATTTGCATCTGTATTTGATTTTTAGAGGTGTTTTTTCCCTTAAAGATTTATTTTTTTATGCATACAAGAACTGGGATATAGGCCAGAGGTGGGTGGTGGTGGTGAGAGGATTACTAAGGACAGTGGGGAACAGAACAGGCAAATTGAATGAAATATACCACTGAGGGGAGCAGTGGGCGGGTCAGGAGAGGTCTGCTGTGCCATGTGGGTCAGCTCCCTGGCCTGGGATCAAACTCATGCTGCAGTGTCTGCGGGCAACTTCACAGTGCTGAGACTTGGCCCCCTGTGCCACCAGGGAGGGCCCTGGTTCCTAGAGTTTCTTGCTGAGCCTAGTGGTAGGGCTGTGAGAAGCAAATGGATTTACAGTGCTAGACACTGTTTAGCATCTGACTGACCCCCTGGCCAGCGTATGAGCTGACCGGAAGAGCTACAACATTAAAGGAAGAGAAGACACCTTCAGTGAAGGAGGAGTAAGCAGAACCATGGGCATCAAGAAGAGATCTGTGGGGTCAGACACCCCATGGAAGCCACTGGAGGTAGCCAGGAGGAGCCGTGGCCAGCACAGGCTTGGGGAGGGGCAGTAAGGTGGGGCCTAGGGCGAAGGCCAAATTGCGGGGAGGGCTCTGGGAGGTGACAGAGGACACTGTGCCTCTAGAGTTGGCTCCACCGTGTCCCCTAGCAGGATGGAATCATGAGGGGCTTATCAAACTGCTGCTCAGCCACCTCGAGCTGTGGTGGGAAACTCGGGCACCAGGATTTAAAAAGATGCCCTTTCCCTCTCTCTGCTCCTATTCCTTGTTTGACCAAGGTGGTGACCCTTTAAAGGCCTGAAGGACCAGAGTGGTCTGCACAGCATCACTCCTGAACCCCACCCTCTAGCCTGGGCAGTAGGAAGAAACAAAGAGGCAGCAAGCAGCCGCTGCAGTGTGGCGTCACTGCCATGAGGGGGCAGCAGTACGCAGGCGAGGAGACTCCAGCAGGCCTGGCCCTGCCCCAGCGGGGAGACGAGAGGCCTGGGGCTCCCAGGTCCCTAACAGCGACACAGCTCTATCTGCCCGATAAACCTCATCTTTAGCTTAGATTACTTCAAAGAGTTTCTATCAGAAAAGCCTTCAGCAAACCAATTTCATTCCCCTACCACTCTCACTTTTCAAAGTCCCCTCCAGGCTTCCCTCCTGCTGAGAACAGGCCTGAAATAGGCTGGGGTGGGAGAGTAAACCGAGAAGGTGGGAGGCGGGGAAGCCTGGAAAGCCACAGAGGCAGAAGGAGAGGGAGGAGGCAGGGAAAGGAGGAAGGGCCACTTCTGTGTGGTTCAGTGTCCAAACAGCTGAGTTCCAGGAACAGAGCTTCCAGTCCTGTGAAAGCTCTGACCAGGGGCTCTGGCCACAGCAGCCAGTGCCACGCACCTGAGTGCTCCTGGGCCACCCCCCTGGGCACTTTCTTTCTTTTAAAGATTTATTTATTGATGCATACAGACCTGGGGTATAGGCTGAGGTGTGTGTGTGGGGGGGGGCAAGGTTGGGGGGTGGTGTGAGGATTCACCAGAGAGGGAGTGGGGAGCAGAGCAGGCAGATTGATGAAGCACACTGCTGAGGGGAGCAGCCGGGAGATAGGAGAGGTCTGCTGCACCCTGTGGGTCACCTCCCTGGCTGGGGATCAAACTCCTGCTGCAGTGGCTGCCACAGCTTCACAGCGCTGTGCTTTAACCTGTTGTGCTACCACAGAGGGTCCCCTCTGGGGACTGTCTTCAGAAAATAGGCCCCCCCCAGCAGCCCCTTTGTGCAACCAGACACCCCTCTTGAACCACAGAAGGCTGGTCCCCCAGTGGGCACCGGCAGGGAGCTGCCAATCCACCCTCTCCCTGGTATCTGGAGTTGAGGGAGACAGAGCGCCCCCTCCTCCAGGGGCTGCCCCTTGCTAAGCAAACTGGGGTGCTGCTGGCAGCCCTGCTTCCAGCTGCTTGATGAGAAGAGTGAATGGAGAGTGAGGCCTGTGTAGCCGAGAGGGTGGCAGCTGTGTTTGCCCTGTTTCCTCTGTCGTTTCAGAGCTTCTCTGAGCTTGGCGGTCTTTGGGTCCCACAAGACCCCTCAGAACCAGAAGCATAACTTCTCTTCTGGCTTGAGGCAGTCTGAATGGCTGTCTGTGACATTGCCCCAGGCTGTTGCGGGAGGCCCTGAAGACAAATCTATGGTGGGACACTCACTGGGCTATCAAAAAAGAAGGTCAAGGCAGACCCGCAGGCCCCTCCAGGAGGGCTCAGGCCCTGACATGCTCTATCAATCAACTGTCAGGTGGCGATGTCCACCACCCCCGTCACTTCTCCGGCACTGCTGGGTGCTGCCCCCAGAACCCCGGCAAGCGCAGGCCTCCACTGCCCTGCACCCAAAGGCTTCCTTGATTCAGTCACAAGTTCACTCATCAAATATTGATTGCTCTGCCTACCGCATGCCAGATGACACTCCAGATGCTGAGTCTGTGTGTGTGTGTGTGTGTGGAGGGGAGCAAGGGGGGGCAGTGCCTCTGTGTACTCCCTCCCGAGCACACTCTCTGCCCTTCCCTTTGCTCAGAAGGCTCTCAGATACAAACAGCCTCACCAGGCCCCTTGGCCCTGCTTGCACGGGGTTTAGCTACCGGGAACAACTGGGAGCAAGATCAGAGGGCAGGAGACAAAGGCCAGCATGTGTGGCAGCCACCCCTCCGAGAGTCCTCAGTGCCTCCGGCCTCCCTGTTCCCATGTCCCCTGCAGGCTCTTCCCAATGTGTAACAATGGACTGAGGTTAGAGCAGGAAAGAGGGTGGCTTCTGTCTTGCTCTCTCAGATCACCCGCTCTGGGTAAACTGGCTGCCGGGATGTGAGGATGCCCAAGCAGGAACAAGGCCCCCCGCCAGCCACCAGGGGATGTGCTGTCCTGGCGTGGGTCTGCCTTCCTGTCAACTTTCTGACACCTGCAGCCCAATGTCTTGAACGAGCACTCCCTAGCTCAGCTGCTCCTGAGCTCCTGACCTATAGAGATTATACAGCAGTAAGTGCCTGATGTCTTAAGCCAGTAAGTTTTGGGCTAACTTTCTATGCAGCCATAGAATACAACCTGGTTTGGAAGGGGTACCCTCACCCCGAGTCCAGCGACGCAGGCTCCGCTGAGGCACCCCCACGGTAACAACTCTCCGCGGCTATTCCTGGTCATAGGTGGCACAATGTCCTATTCCTTTCCTTTATTTTGCCCACAAGCCTGGAAACAGTGCCTTGTTAAACTCAAAAATCCACAGCGGAAAGGGTCACCTCCTCTGCTAGGACCTGCCTGTGTAGATGCCATCACGAACGAGAGAGGCACCATCTCTGCACCTCTGGAGCTTAGAGGCTAGCCGGGAATGCAGAAAATAAGTTAGGCAGCACATAAATAAGCAAGAGAATTTTGGAGATGAACACGCTCAGTGACAAAATAGAGGCTGGTAAGGAGACAAGTGGGGCAGGCGGGGCAGAGGCCTCTGAGGGGCCGGCCAGGCTGCATCCACGGGAGGAGGGGGAGAGCTCGGATAGGGGCAGCAAGCAGCATCAGAGGGGCAGCAAGGTCTGCAAGGTGGGAGGGGGTCTGGATGCTCCAGGAGCAGACAGGAGACCCCTTGGCAGGAGCTGTGAGCAGGTTGAGTAGGGGAGATGAGCCGAGGGGTCATAGACCTGGGCAGGGTGAGGCCAGGAGTGTGGATTCTGGTTAAACTGCAAGGCAGTGCCACGGGCAGGTTTCTCAGTGAGGGACCTACTGGGTCTGGCCGACCCATGAGACTGCCCCAGTAATCCCAGTGGGGGGCTGTGGTGAAACTGACCTCCGGAACATATTCGAGATCCAGACTTGTCAGGACTTGCTGAGCGTGGTGGGCAGTGTGGGGGTTCCTTCCAAAACCCCTGGGTCCCCTTTTGCCAACTGTGTGCCCCTTCCCGCTTCATTTTGCTTCTGCCTGTCCTGCACCTGCTCTGCTTTGTCGCAGACGCTCCAGGCAAGCTCAGGGAGACGTACCCAGGATTTATAGTTAGCTCTTCACGGTCCCTAGGACCAGGGCTGGAAGCCTGCCCCTGCCTCAGGTTGCGACAACTCTGCACGTAAGTTACACCATTGTCCCCACGGGGGAGCAGGATGCTGCCCTTGGAGGACAGTCTGAGCTCACTGTCTCCCCTTGGAGACTCCCTCAGCAATTGCTGTGTGCCTCAGCTTGTGGGAACCTGACTGCACTGGGCTGGGGCGCAGCAAAGGAAAGAGACTCAATTCCTGCCTGGAGGATCAGAGTGAAGAGTGGACTGATTGGGGTGGGGAGGAGGGGTGGGTTTAGGAATACCCAGGTGGGAATGTCCAAGAGGTGGAAGACATTTTTTAAAAAAAAGATTTATTTATTTATGCATATAAGAGCTGGGGTGTTGGCCAGAGGTACAGTGGTGAGAGGATTCACCAGAGACAGAGTGGGGAGCAGAACAGGCTGACTGACTGAAACACACTGCTGAGGGAAGCAGTGGGAGGGGCAGGAGAGGTCTGCTGCGCCATGTGGGTCAGCTCCCTGGGTGGGGACTGAATCCGTGCTGCAGTGACTGCAGTAGCTTCACAGTGCTGAGACCTAACCCCAGGGAGGCCCAAGAGGTGAAAGACTGTACAGTATGAAGCTGGGCTGCTCCAGAATAGACAGGGATTACGTACCTGCAAGGACCCCCACAGCCCCCGGTCTCAGCTTCCCAGGTCAAGTCAGGTATAAACTGAACAAGAAGTAGGAATGGCCCCCGGTACCAGATCTTCTTCCACCAGGACTTGAGGCACCCAAGTTACTGGCTTTTTCTTACTGCCCCATATATGAGTCCTGCATCCCCACCTCCAGCTGCACCCTCCAACCAGCCCCACAGCTCTCTGCCTTCATAGCTAGCAACCCCCTCAGTCTTGGCACTACATAGCCTAGAAGCCAGAGAGAGGGCCTGAGACGAAACCCCAGAGAGAGGTTCAGTTCCAGAGGGAGGTTCTAGCCCCCTGGGCTGCCGTGTTCAAAGAGTGAGGGGGGTGGGCTTGGGAACCAGCTCCTCACTCTTATCCTTGACATTCCCCTGAAGGAGAAGCTTCTGGTACTCCTCAGTCCTTCTCTGGCATCCTACCCCTGCCATGGAGGAAGTATGAGAATTGAGGGGTGGGAGAGGAGGCATCAAACCAACAAAGAAAAGCTCTAGTTAGGGATTGCACTTCCCTGCCAGCATCCTGAGGGCAGCGATGGGTGAGCCATTCTACCCAGAAGCCACACTAATGGGCAGATCCTCTCACTGAGAAGGGGCGAAGCCCCTCAGAACTTGGGGCGCCATGGAGCTTTTCCTTTTTAGATCTCAGGGCCTGGCAGGAAGTGGGCCTCAGTGAAGTGGCTGGGTAAGGAAGACAGTGGGGCATGGTGGGGACTGTGGCAAATTGGAGAATCCCAGGCAAGGCCCCCGCTAGACTGACATGACCTCTTTGTGCAAACAGTCTTGCATCAAGTCTTGGTGGGCAGAGAGAAGGCTGGCTTTAAGTCTCCCATTTCTCCCACCTCCTTCAGACATGTAGCCATATCTTCACGCAGTCTACAACCTACACAACTGTGCATAGTGGCTGCTGGCTGTTCAAGGGAAGCTGGGAATAGAGCTTGTGTGCAACATTCCAATTATTAAACATTGGCAATGAATCCAGATTTAACACACCCATGGGCCAAACAAAACTTGTGCTGATGGTGCCAATGTGCAGCCTCAGGACAGGTAGGCCACTTCACAAGGTGCCTAGAAAGGTGCCCACCTCACACCCCCGGGCCCAGCTGGCTCAGCCACCCTACCGGCTTGGGGCAGTGGATGTAGCGGGCCAGGCTGATGATGAGGTCATGTGTGATGGGGTCCACCAGGTTCCTGAAGCTGGCATAGCGGTACAGGACATCGTCCAGCGAGGTCGACTCCATGCCCAGGTCCTGCAAGAGTAAAGAAGTCCAGTGGTCAGGGGTGGACTCGCTCTACCCTCCAGTCCCACCCAAACACCCCAACTCCCCTGGAGGCAACTCAGCCAGCCCGCTCCCTGGTGAAGGAAGGAACCCCCTTCAATGAGGCTTCTCAACCTGCAAGGAAGCCTCTGCAGGTTCCACAGACATGGTCTTCCTGGCATGTGGGCCTCTTCCAAGATAACCCCAAAACCTTCATGGGTCCACTTCCCCTGAGGAGCAAGCCGAGGCTGGCTGCCTGGGCAGCAGCAGCTGCGTCTCTGCCCAGGGAAGTTCCTGGCGCAGAGCTAAGTACCCTGGCGGCTGTGTATTGACGTGGGTCTGTTTTCTTTCTGCGTCTGCTCCTTCAGTAAATGGCCCAGCCTTGGCACCGCTTTGCCTTGGGGGTATGTGTGTGAGCTCTGAGGTTCCAAGGAGAAGCTGCCAAGTGTACAAATGAAAACTCCTCAGGCTCCTTGAGAAAGGTATCGAGCAGGATTCTCCTAAAGGGAGGGTGGGGGTTGGGGGCAGGGTTCTGGCCTGCCTGAAGAACAAGGGTTTGGGGAGCACACACCCTGGGAGCTGCTGCAGAGGCCCCTGCTGCTAGTAAGTCGGGGACTTGTGGGGCACAGCCAAGAGCAGTGACCGGTGTGGGCTAGGACTCAAGGGCCCGGCTATAAATGTCCTGGACTATATAAGACCCTAAGCTTCTTGTCCAACTCCAGGGAAAGGGCAAGACATGACTAACCTTGAAGTTCCCACAAGTCAGGCTGGTGGGAGCTTGAAAGAATTAGTGCTTGAGAGAAACGAAGAAACAATTTTCTGCCTTTGAGTGCTGGACTAACCTTTATGCCCTGATTTGTGAGAGTGGGGGTACACTGGCCTTTCTCAATGCCCCCTCCCTGTGTCTGTGCCCTTGGGTGTGGATTGTGCTTCCTGCTGCTAGCTTCATGCTTTGCACACCAGGCAGTGCTGACCTTCCTCCCCAGGGGGCACCCAGTCACCCCACCCCAAAGACCAGGGGCTGCTGTGGGCAGGGCAGGCGGTACCACCCACTTTTGCTGCCCTGACCCCCAGCCCTCCAGGCCCCAAAGCCATAGGTGCAGCAGCCCACCCAGCACAGCCCAGAGGTGATGGCCCCACCCAGGACGGCAGAGTGCTGAGAGCCGGGACAGGAAATGTGTGGGGGCTGGTGACTGCCAGCAGGGAGGGGCTGACCCCTCTTCTCAGTGGACAGTCTGACCCTTGGTCAGTGCCTTTCCCTTGCACTGGCCTAGAGGTCCCAGCAAGGCAGGGAGGCTAGGTATCACAGGTCCCAGTTTCCAGGTGAGGAAAGCCAGGCCCTTCGTTAGCGGTGATACAGTTTTGGGAGTGGGAAGCTGGACCTATGGCCTTGATGTGGGACCTTCTTTGGATGACTGCTCTGGCTTATCTTGACTGAGGTGAGCAGGCTGAAGACAGGCTGGAGGGTAGCGAGGGAGTTTTCGGCTGACGCTTCTAAGAGCAAAGGAAGAAAAGGTCTTTGCTGGATGGATCTGGATGGGCCAGGATGCCAGGTTCTCTGTCCCTGTGGGGAGCACGCCTGGGCCCCATTACAGCTGGGTCTCCCATGCCATGGATAGAGCTCTTTGTTTTCCTTGTTAAGAAGAAATGGGGGGCCCTCCCTGGTGGCGCAGCGGGTTAAAGCACTGCACTAAGAAGCTAAAGCCAGTTCAATCCCCGCCTGCCCCGAGGTGACCCACATGGCGCGGCAGACCTCTCCTGACCCTCCCGCTGCTCCCCTCAGCTGTGTACTTTGTCGATCTGCCTGCTCTGCTCCCCACTCTGTGAATCCTCTGTGAATTCACTCTGTGAATCCTCTCACCACCCCTGCACCTCTGGCCTGTACTCCAGTCTGTATGCATAAATAAATAAATCTTAAAAAAAAAAAAGAAGTGGATTCCCAGTTTCATTGAGGACACCAAGCGACCAGTTGGGAAGCTCTGCTTTCCATTTAACAACATGTGCCTCTGAGGCAGACTGCCCCTCGCCAGGTTCTCTGGCTGCTAAAATAATTTCCTGGGGCTGAGGGGTGGAGCAGGCAGAGGGGGCATTCTGAAGTGGCTACATTCTAGAACTCAGGGCCTTTGAGAACCAACTGCAGCTGGCCACAGATGCATCCTGGGCCAGTTATGTAAGGCCACTGTGCCTCAATTTCCTCTTCTGTAGCATGGGAATGATGGAGGCAGGAATGCGGGGAGGCAACACAAGACTGAGTCACACAAAAGGGACAGGTAGAAGGGGCTAGTGCAGCAACTGACACAGCCATAACATCAAGGTCCTCAGGCACCAAAGCCCGATGTCCAGGATGTCCAGGATGTCCGGGAAGCCAGATGTCTCCAAGAGGTCCCAGCAGATAACAGACTGTTGGGGGATGTGCCTGAAGCTCAGACCCAAAAGGCAAAAGATAAGGACGTGGAGACGAAGCTCATCAGGAAATCTCCGGGCCTCTCAAGTTCTACCTAGACTCACAAGGAGTGAGGCCCTCCCAAGGACAAACTGCCTTTATCAGGGCAGCCTCTCCACCAGCAGGGGGCAGCCGCTCCTCTGCCCACCTGTGCCTATGCTCGTGCTTCTTTCCACCCACTCTCCCTCTGCAGGGCAGCAGCCTGCGTGTGACCATGCCGGGACTTCTCTGCATTGACCTCCCCTGGCAGAGCCCGCTCTCTCCTTAGGCCGCCTGCCTGCAACCATGCAGGTCTCTCCCTGCAAACCTGTCCCTTTGGGGCACTTGCCCACTTGCACATATGCAAGTGTCCTTTCCTCTCCTGTCTTTTTCTAATAAACTTCCTCTTTAAATATAACCGAGTCTCTGTCTCATGAAGAATCTCGCCGTATGCCGCTGAAAGGGGAGCTCTGGTGAAACCGTTCCCACAGTGAACCCAAAAAACCCGAACTCAAAAGACGACATCAGGAACAGTGGCTCCTACCTATATCACAGGTAAGTGAGAGATATAAAGCCCAGTGCACAGCAAAGCCTCTGATGGGAAGAAAATCACCTATAACGCCTTCTGCCCTCAGTCCCTCTCGTCCCAGAGATCCCCCTCCCCCTACTTATACAGTGTGGTTCTCATCTCTTTTTGAACCACAGGGCACACAAAAGACATGATCTCTCTCTCTCTCTCTCTCTCTAGAAAAGCACAGGAGTCAGGCAAGACAGGAAGCTTGGTGCACACAAGCCATGCTGATGTCACCGGCAGGAGGATATGGGGCCCCAGGGGTACATACTTCGGACACACACTTTCCTAGCAGAGTGTAAGAACATGACCTGGCCCTCCCTGGGGCAGGAGAAGGCAGGAGACGTAGGAGGGGAGAGTCAAAGGGCTTCTATTCAAGAGCTCACTTGCTCAAAGGTCCCTAGGGTGGGTGGGTGGGGGTGGGGGCCCAGTGCAGGAACTGGAAATGGAGGGATGAGGTCCAATGGTCAGAGGTCATGGGTGCAGAGGGGAGGGGAGGAGGAGGAGGAAGGGGGGGAGCAGAAAGGAAGAGGGAGGCATGGACCTGACCTTCCTGTCTGTCCTGCAGGCTGTGCCACCCTCTGTGGACTGTGACTTGAAGCCAGCCTCGTCCTGCGCTGCTTCACCCTCCTCAGGGTGTCCCCCTGGCTCACCACATATGCCTGTGTGTTCCTTTTACACACATCCTGTTTCCTACCCTCAAATGCCACCTTGGAGAAAGCACTCGATTCTAGGTCCTCTCCAGTTACCAACTCACTGTGAGTCTGTGGGCACAGACTTCTTCCCTCTTGGGGTCCCTTCTCCCAGCTATGAGATGGGTAGGAGAGTCAAGCCTGGCTCTCTGCAGGGCGGCTCTGCCCTTCCCCTAAAAAACCTGCTGGGCTTTTCTGTAGCCTATTAGTCCTGTTCTGCCTTCCCTTCTCCCTCCTCTAAAGATCAGTGGAAGCAGTTGCTGGGGACAGAGACAAGCTGTGCCCTCCCCCTCCCTCCTTCTACCTAAGGTGCCTAAGAGGCCTCCTGATTATTTTGAATTGGAAAAATTATGACACAGAAGATTCAAGGATGATTTCCATCCCCCCACCCCCATTTATCTCCTTGAATACAGGAAATAAATCTCTGTGGTGGTCTGGGAGGTGAGAGACAGACAGCCTGTTACAGCCTTATGCCCCAGACTAAGCTTGCAAAGTCTGATTTTATGCGCACATGGATAAACCCTGCAAAGTGCCTTTTTCTTTAAATTGCCCAAGTTCTTCAGGGTTTGCCTCCTAAGCTTCCTGCCCCCATTCTCCACACTATATAACCTCACTGGATGACCAGATGAGAGGTTCCATTGTTCCGCACGAGGTTCTCTGTGCACAGAATCAAAGTTTGTCTTTTTTCTCTCTAATCTCTTTATCAATTTAATTATTTTCCAGCCATATAATCCTAGAAGATAGAGGGAGATTAGCTGCCTCCCCAACACTCCTCCATTCTGGAAGATCATTGAAAACCCAGGAGGCTTGGACAGATGTGGGAGAAAAAGACATGGGACTCTCCTTCCCCGAGTCCCAGGCCTCACGCCGTTCACCCTCTGTCACCCTGGGCGCCCAGGGTGCTGCATGGCCTGGTGCCCTTGAGCTGCTGTGGTCCAGGTTCCTTTAGTTGTTGCTCAGGAAGGGGCCTCCCCAGAAGGCAGATGTGGCCCTCTCCCTGGGCCACCGCCCTCCCTGTGAATTCCAGCTGGGTGGGGCTCCCAGGCTGGATTACCAGGAACTGCAGCAGGGAAGCCAGACAGGGACAGTGCAAAGGCCGTGGCACGCTTTATTGCTTCTTTCTGTCCTTTGACCCCACTAGGCCCAAGAAATACATGTGTTGCTTCAGGACACATCGTGTGTCCCACGGACCTCTGGCAACTCTGGGACTCCCTGCTGTCCCCTCCATGCTCTTGCCCCGAAGCTGGTCTACTGGAGATGACTGTTTCATGACCTTGCTTCAAGGAGCTCCCCCCATCCCATTACT